TAGAACGACTGTTTTAGTAACAGAAAAATGGATTAAGTGGATTTTCTGGATGTTCGCGGGTATAGTTAGTGCAGAATAGCACTGCCTTTAATATATTTTGTGTTTAACTTTGTTGGCAATATCATCTTGAAAGTGTTGAGCTGATACTATTCCCCAAAACAGAGTCAATTCTTCACTAAATTTGTAACATGCTTGTGTAGTCTGAGCCTGGTTCCACTGAAAAGGGATTTAAAAAATATTCATGAAACATAACCAAGATAAGTGTTTTTAATCCTTTTACAATATTATTGTTTCAGAAGCCATCTCCTACTGCTGGAGCAAAGATTAAATAAGCAGTAAAAACAGAGACAGAATTCAACAGTTGTGACAGAGAAATGTAAAACTTTGTTTTCTTCAGAATACTAGCCTTTTTATTCTGCTTACAAAAATATCTCAAACTAGATGAAAAATTTGCAACAGAAAATGCTGATACTTCCATTTTCATTTGTTTCTATCAAATTAGAAATGTTGAATGGAAATACCTTTAAAAGATTAAGAAACATTTTCAGATATTTGGCAACCTTTCCAGCAAAGTCTGCAGAAAGACTCACAGTGTCATAATTTCAGGAGCACCTGTGAAGCAGTTACCATTCTTTTACTTCTTCCTCTTCATAGTGAAATCTAATTTAAGGTTTTTGGTTTTTTCCCCTTCCTTTTCTCATCACGGTCCTTAGGTTCCATTTTCATGCTAAAAAAAAAGTATTAAAAATCTCTTTCTAAAATGTAGGAAACTGTACCTACCACCATTTAAAACATAAGAAGAAATAAAATCTTTACCAGAGTAGGCATGATAATTTTAGGAGGGTAATGAGATATTCAGCAGAAACACTGGTTTTATCTCAAGTGATGTTTGCCCTCCTTCCACCCTGGCCCAGTCACTCCAGAAATTTTTATAGGGATAAACTGCTAACTGACAATTCATGTATTATTTCTCTGGAAACATTTGCCTTGGTGATTTGAAATACCCTGTTCAGTATAATGTACAAAAAGGAACAGATAAGGTTACTTATGGTTGAATTTAATAAGTAGAGATAACCGGTGTCTCATGGTCTTTAAAGGCTGCAGTCATGACAGCTAACTACACTGGTTTGCTATGGCAACCTATGTCTTACTGCAATGGGTGCTGCAGCATTGTCTATAGGCAGGTGTTGAAGGTTTAAGGCTAGAGCTTAGGCCATTTCACCGATGTCCAGGCCTGGTCTTTCCCAAAAGGAAGGTGATCCTGAAGCACAGTGAGGGACACACTGAGCCTTGCTCCCCCAGCTTGATGCTCTTGGAAGCTGGAAGCTGATTTTTAAGATAAAGGACACACCACTAAGCTAAGAAAGTGATAAATGGCATGGAAGAAACACCAAACACACCAGAATCCAAGGAGAGACACCCCTTAGTCTGCGTGCTCCTATTTTAAAAATATTTTCTTTTTATATTTCAGAGGGACCAAAGTGGTAGGATATTATTGCTGGGCGTAGAGTATTAAAAGACATTTTTAAAAATACGTGATTTAAGTTAAGCCCCTCTGCATCAGAAGAAACAAGCTAGTGTAGCAAGTAAAATGTAGTGAGAGATTTCTTCTGCCTCTCTCCATACATTTGTGTTAGAGAAAGCACCAGGCACAAACAGGCCGCTTGAAGGATGGAGGAAACAGACCTAGCAACCATTCGTTTTGCATTTTTGATGGCTCACAAGGCTTGCATGCATCAGCTTCTCTGAGCAGAACAGCAGGAATGGTAGAAATGGACTGTATTTTGTAATTCTAAATTTAGAAACTGAAAAAGCAACACTATAGCAGCCATGTTTTCTTTTGAGAATTCATTCCACTCTGCTACTGGATTAGCAAGTGTTAAGACCTGTGACCAAAGAAAGCAGCCAGGTATCCAGAGCAGCTCTCCAAGGACTGCCATCCCACCCCAAATCCCAAAGCAGCGGTTGGGGGATGCGATGCCATGCAGACTTAAGGTAGTTATAAATAATGCAGAAACTGTAAATTTTTGTAATTTTGTTTCCAGACTTTACATCAAGTACTTAACCATGTGCTTCCTTGGTATAAACTTGAGACCTTTCCTTAAAGTTTGTCTAGTGGTAAAGCTTCCAGGTTAACACTCAGGCAGGAAGGACAGAGCATTCATTTACAAGTGAACTGGGCACAGCTGGCAAGTGTTGGTGGCAGCTGGGAATGACCTGTGTGGGACTAGGGTTGGGACTGCCCTAAGCACGTCTTTATTTGTTTGCTTTCTCAATATCAGAATCAGCAATTAAAAGCTTGTTAATTGCCGATAAATTAATTAATTTGATGGAAATTCCCCTATATGAAACTGTTTTGTTGCCCATGACAACAGGTAGTAAGTCCTTTAAGAGATCTTTTCTAGAGGCTTTTTGCTGGACAGATTGGGGAAATTTTTTCCTTCACTGGAAGTGTTATGTGCAGCCTCCACAGCAGCCAGCTTGTTGCTCGCTTGCTCAAGGCACTGTGCTGCTGCCATCAGTGACTTGTTCACTTTCCCACAATAAGCTGTCATCTGCCTCTTCCATGGAGCACTAGAGCTGATGACAGCTCTGCAGGCTCACTCATTAGCAAGTGATTATTTACTTGAAGGAGTCAAAGTCTCATTAGAGAACTTGGCAGATGACTCAAATGGAGGAAAAGAGATGTATCTGTACTGAGGTACATCCTGCAGAACTTGTTCTGGTAGAGTCCAAATACACAGATGCATATTTTGGCCAAATAAGCTTAACAGGCTTATTGACCACAATAATTTTCAAAAGGAGAAAATGAATCCCACCCTTAAGGCCTAGGCCACAGAGATTTATGGAGAATTAGTTTTCTTTATAGAGAATTTTTGGGTCTCTTGTGACATGATGCACAAGGGAGACAGCTGCAAATAAGCAACACTTGCTGTCCATTCCTTTAAAAAATTGTGATAATTCTGGCTCCACCTGAGTTTAAGGATTTTGTTTTGCTCACTCTCTCTTCAGATGTAGATAATCATTTGGTTCTGCAGCATTCACTGCTTGTTTACTCTTGGTCCAAGAGCTCTCTTCATACTCGGGTGCCCAGGAGATACAGAAATTTGCAGGGCCAGTAAACCAAGACATGTAAGTTAGGAGAAAAAAGTACTAGTCTGGGAAATTGTTTCAAAAAATTCTTTGGTTTCCATGTGAATTAGCTGATGTTTCCCTGCCCTTTCACTAAGACTAAAGATCAGCAAGCACTAAGGTCAGCACCAAGATCAGATGTGCACCAGCAGGTCTTTGCCAACCATGGAAATGAAGAAATATGGGCTAATCTTCACAGAGCTTTGGCTCATGAAATTCTTTCCACTGCCCAGCAATAGGCACTATGTTGAAATAATTTTCAATTCCTTTTTTCTGGAATTACTGAAAATCATACAAACATGTTTTTCACTTATTTTGATGGATTTATCTTCCATAAGTTTTACTGGCTGTCCTGGTTGGGGCTGGACTAGAGTTCCTGTTGGTCTGGCAGCGGGTAGATTTGCAGGAGACACCTGAAAATTTCCCGGATGCATTTGCTAAACTGTTTCCATTTGTATTGGGCTTGCCTGGCGAGGTTTTGGTAGCTGGGGTCTGCAGGGTGGCTCCTGTGAGAAGCTGCTAGAAGCTTTCCCTCATGTCGAACAGAGCCAGTGCCAGCTGGCTCCAATGCGGACCCACTGGGGGCCAAGGCTGAGCCCATCAGTGATGGTGGTAGCACCTCTGGGATAACTTAATTAAGAAGGGGAAAAAAACCTCCTGTACAACACCATTTGCAGCCTGAGAGGAGTGAGGATATGTGAGAGAATGTCCTGGTTGGGGCTGGACTAGAGTTCCTGTTCATTTTAGTATCTGGAGGAGTGCTGCAGCACCCTGAGACCCCAGGGGCTCCCCAGGTCCCAGTGCCCTCACCTGTGTGCGGGGGCGGGGGGAGCACAGCTGGAGGGCTGGGCCGGGATTGGCCGATAGTCCATGTCACGTGACATTGTGCTCACTATATAAAGGCAGGAGTGGGCCAGGCGGGGCTGCCACTTCTGGGAGTGTGGCTGGGGGGCCTTTGTGTTGGGGATTGCTGGCTGGGAGCAGGCGGGTGTTGGTCGGTGGGTGGTGAGCAGCTGTATGGTACATTACCCGCTGATATTGCTGTCAGTGTATTATTCTGTTACTGTTATTAAACTGTTTTTATCTCAACCCGCGAGTCTCCCTTTGCCCCTCCAATTCCCTCCCCATTCCCAAGTGGGGGAAGGTGGGTGAGCGGCTGCAGGGCGTTTAGCTGTTGACCAGGCTCAAACCATGACAGTGGCATAATTTTATTGGCATTGGAGACTGTGTAAATTTTTAGCTTCAGTATAAAACCCTGAGGCAAATAGTTCAGGAGCTCAATTCCCTTTGCATAGGAGTGGCTTCCTTCTGCTTGCTTTGAATATGTCACCTGATACTTTCATATGATGTCTCTTGCTTCTTGCTTTGGAAGAGGTAGTGGTCAACAATTCCTAAAGATGTGTTTATTTTTTTTATACAGGGCTAATTCCAGGTCTCAATTTACAGGTGCAGATGGAGTATGTTTGCATGATTTTCAGTAATTCCAATAAAAATTCTCTCAAGCACCTGCTGTCACCAGGTGTAACTGAAGTTTAGTGGTGTCTTCCCTTCCTCATTCTTTTCTTAGAGACACCACATAGAGACCTCCATAAATTAAAAGCACAGTGACATCCAGGGAAAAGTGCTGGACTGCTACGCAGAAAACTTTTCTATTTCATGCTTTTGTTGGGTGACCTTAGGCCAAACAGATCTTGCTTCTGATTCCCCACACAACATGAAAAATGGTAATGATACATGTTGTAAAACAGCTTGATATCCATAGATGAACCACCACATTTGTTACTACCACATGAATTCAGAAACCTGGGTCTTTCATTTTTTTCAGGTAGGGTGGTCCAGAGGAATATAAACTCTTAAGATCAAAGATATGAAGAAGCAGCAATTATTTGTTAGTACTACCAGACAAATCTTGGTGGAAACAACTGACTAAAACACTATACCATTTTCCTAAGGAATGTGAGGGCTTACAGCTTGGTGTTAGCTGAGAAAGAACTAGGACTACTAGTGAAAACACCCTGCACTGGAAAAAACTTTATCATATTGAATTTTTAAAATATAGTTAAATACACTGTACACAATACATTCTAATTCAGAAGAAAATACAGCTTTTGCCAGAAGTATTACTCTATATTCAATACTTTTTTCCTACAGTCATTCATTTTTGTTATTTCTTCCAACATAAAGAAAGCATGTAATTTTATGTAGCATATATCATAAAGCTGGGATTTACAAAGAAGCTAAAAGAAATTAGGTATTCAAAATCCCAGTGATATTCCAAGTTCCTTTGTAAATCCTACTTCTACTGTTCTGACTAGTACAACCAGGAGTCACCTAGCTGCTTTTTGTACTTTCTGAATTGTACAGATGCATATTGGTCATATCAAAAACATCCTCTATCTACAAAGCCTGCACTGGTGTCCACTGCTAATGCATTTAAAGGAAAATAATTTTTAACTTTGCATTGATTTGCAGCAATTTTTGTCTTCAGGAATCAAACACCACACTCCTTTCTAGACAGGAATGTAATTAACTCCTCTTGTTCAACAATTAATTAGTTCGCAGTTTCTACTTATGTATTGAACATGCATATTGACAGTTCTTTATGTGAAGAGGAAACACATGAAGAAACAGCACGCATAGTTTAGTCACACTTCACAAAGATAGGTCTTAGCAATATTATACAGTGTGTTTCATGAGAAAACTGTACTCTTCTACAAGTTTCTTCTTCTCACTTAATTTTTCCAGTATGGCATCCATTAAATATGAGGCAAAAGGAAACTGAAAAAGAAACAGAGTAAGAAAAATTATCATTTAACTTTTTTCTTTTCAAAAACAATTGCTAAATATCTTTAAACCATTAGACCACTTAGTTCTGACAACAACTACACGTACGCACATCTGATCTTCAAAGTTCACCTGCCTGGTTAGTGTCCGAAAATTTGCTCTCTACCATAAAAATGATAAAAGAACAGAGTAAAATGAAAAAAGATAAACGTCTTATTGAATAATTCATGCTTTACTGACCATGTTAATGACGTAAACTGCAGTACCAGCAACTCTGTCATTTATCTTCAACCAGCTGATCAATAAAAGGCTACAGTCATCTCTAGGGCATGCAGAAATGGTAGTGTGTGTTGACTACTCTCAGGAGGATGAGACTACCAGTACAGCTCTCAATGATGTGGCAACTGCCTTAGACTCACATGTGAAAACTTGTAAATAAAAAAAAAAAAACAAACCAAAACAAAACCCCAAGCCCCCAAAGCTCCAATTGCATTAATTGGGATATGATACACACGTCTGCTCCTCTAAAAACACGACACCAAAAAATTATAATTGCATATTTACAGAGTAAAGTGTAAACCTCTTTTCTATCTCCTCCAATTTAAAAGATGTATTTGCACAATCAGTGCCTTCAAGGAAAGAGATTTGGTATGTTTTTCAGTGTCATTGCTTTAATGATTAAAGAGGTTTTCTTTCACAGTCCTGGTGCATCAGTGCACTGTGTGCAGGGAACTACTTTTGGAGGTGGTGACATGAGTCATTGCGGCTCACCCAGGGAGTGGTCAGTGCTTTGCCAGAGGAGAGCAGTTTTTGTTCACCATTGGAAAGTCTGTCAGCTTCACAGAGTTCTGACAGGTTTCTTGAACTCCTGGTGAGATGAGCGGTTACTGAGGGGTCAGTCCCACACCAAAAGTAACAGCTGATGCTCATATCAGAAGGAGAAATAATTTTATCTTAATAAGGCCACTAGAAATAAATTAGGCAAAATAAAGCATTTGGTTGAGCAGGCCAATCACCAGCTTCCTCTGCTTCTCACAACTGTAGTTAAAGGCAATACTTTTGCATCTAGAACCACTCTCTAGCTCCACACTCAACTATTGCTGCTCTGATTTTATTTTTTCACTTGTTTTCCATCTTAAAGAGAAAATTGTATGGTACTTATACCAGATAGAGTACTACCTGTTTTCTAGATATGTGAAACAAAAAATATAAAACAAACAAAAACCCCCCAGACATAAAAGTACATCAAATACGAATGCAGGTATACTGTCTGAACTGATATACAGATATGAAACTATATACTGATATTTATAATTGCTAACAAGTCAGGAAAAAAATTATCTAAAATGGTAGTGAGGAAAATCTTGTTAATATCAAGCTTCTATCATGAAGTGACTGTAAAGGCAATCCTACATGTTGCTCACTTTGCAGTTACAGAAAAAGGATAATACACATTGTTTTCATTTGCTACAGGAAAATGGGTTTTGAAGAGCTGGTACTTGTTGGCCAGATGTGTCTCCACCTGTCATAAATAACTTCTGTCTATGGTAAGAATTTTCAAGTAGTCATCTACACCTGTCAGCTTTCTCCTGCATGCTACTGTGATCACTTTTTGGGGAATAGAGGGATCCAATTCACTGAGCACAAACCTATTCAGAGTAATAGAAGACATGATCTTATCTGAAATTCTGTGACACTTACTTGCTACTGTGCTTTAAAAACAGACTCCAGCATCCTGTTCACTCTAATTGCTCTCCTTCATTGCCTAAATATTTTTTTACGCGAACTCTATACCATTACCTCAGTCTCTAATTCTTCTTGCCTAGACTGACTACATTAATTTCTGATACATTTCACCTCCTTAATGTGCCTGAGATGAATGGTTTCTTATTGATGTCTCTGGTTTGTATCGTTCTAGATACATTTTACTTGCTGCACACTACTCTCTGTGGCTTCCATGTCATAGCAAAGTGATCTTTCAAGAACTCTTTCCATTTAAATCATTCATTTAAATCAAGAGCATTTGAAAGTTGAACGTTATGTCATTCTTTCAACATTTGTTGGTTTCAGAAAAAGTACTGGATGTTTTTATCTGGTTTTCTTTTCATACAGACACCCAGAACTGGATGATCTCTACAGTCTTCATCTTTAATATAAGCCTGTCAGGTTTACTTTTAATGATGGCTCTGTAACTATCCTGGGAAGTTTCCCTCTACATTTCTCCCCAGTCTCTACTCTAAAGTATTCATCTCCGCTACCAAATCTGCCATATGCTTGGGGAAGGCAATGGGAGTTCAGTGAGTGATAAGTACACACCTAAGGACTGTAAAGCTTGTTTATACCACTGATAATTATATATTTTAATACAGAATTATATGTCCTTCAAATGCTTTCTAGTTATCTGTGCCACAACCAATTTATCCAAACACTAAACATTAACAATGACAGCGATCCTAGATCAGTACATATGGCAGGCTTTAAGAGAGGTAGTTTTTAATTGACTGTAATAAATTCAGAAGAATTGAGAGTGCAAACTACATGTGTATTTATGTTTAGTTATCTTTACCAGAATTGCAGATCTCTTCTTTGATACTAGAAAGCTGTATGAATGAAATGGCATATTTCTTACACAACTTATCAGATGGGTATCTTGGCATATGGTTAAATGCAAGGTAGTATGAGCCTAAAGAGTCAGGAATGCTGATAGTTATTTCTATTTATCTCACCTATTTATTTAGACCTTGAGTATACTTATTTTGGAGATCTCTCCTGTAAAAATCAACAAGTAATTTATATCAACCTTACACAGTGTGACTGAGTCTCACTCAGCACAAATGCATAAATACGCACTGATCTGCCAGTGGAGACACCCATAATGAAGGCAAGAAATTGTTTTTACTCTAATCAGATATAGTGCCTCCATTCAGAAAGTACAGCATTACTTGGTCTCTGCTTCACAAAGTATAAAATGTGTTAACATAAAAATAAAAGTAATTAATTTCTGGAATACATGAATTAGTGATTACACCTATTTTAAATCTCCCCATATGGATCATCAGTGTAATAGATTTGCCCAACAAAACTATTCTAACACACTGCAGAGATGCCTCTAAATTAATTAAGTGAACCACAAAGAATAACCTGAAATAAACCTAAAGAAACTCAGATTACAATGGCCAAATCCTCCTAATTTTGCTATAAATTAAAAGTCAAAGTTTAAAAAAAAAGCGCATCACTTCACTGTTGATCTTTGTCCATTCTTCTTTGTGATGGCTGTATGTACATGATTATATAAATATATATGTGCCTGTCTGTATTCTTATACTGAGTAATCAAGCCAATCTCTCCCATGTTTTCAGTCCAGGACAAGTGATGAAATGTGGTTTTGTTTGTGTGTGTGAGAAAAAACAGATTTATACCATAATGGATTGTCAATGCACAGGACTGAGCTCTTATTCTCGTAATGATTACTTTCTGATTGTCTGATATCAGCGTTAATGGTGCCCAGGATATGGTTCAGACTGCACTGGGGCACTGGCTGATGGTGGCAGGGGTGAGTGTGTGCAGGTGTGTTTGTGCATGGGTGAATCCATATGTGTGTGTGCAAGTAGAGGACAGGCAATGAGTAGAGACCTGTTCAAAGAGAAGACAACAGACACAGGCTGGAAAGAGACTAATGAAAGCAAAGCTTGGTGTTCCAATTCAAGAAATTTGAAAGGAAACAACCACAGCTGTTAGTGAACATTTCCAGATGACACCAGAGGAAATCTGTATTTAGAAATCAATGCAAGTCCTTAAAAGGGGTTGGGGAAAACCCCTACTGATGAAGAGTGAATATACTGTTTCAAACCCTGTTCTAGAGATGGAGTATACACATATGTACAGAGCAACCGCATAACAGAGCGGAGGGAGTTTTTCTGGAAGTTTTCACCATTGGAATATGATTTGTAGATTCATAATGAGGTCATGAGAGGAAGGATTTTATTAGGCAGCTTTGTTTATGTGAGATGTGGTATCCCGAGGAGTACATAAGGAGGGAGAGGGAAGGCAAGTGCTGATGTAAATCTGATAAGGGACACGCTAAATCAGTGCTGTCATTTGGATTAATGTTTGGAAGAATTAGGCAGATGGTTTGTATTTTACTAAAAAGTAGTTCTTGGAGACTTCAAGCAGCAATCTGAATTGGGCTAACATGCTGCATTCACATACAAAATTATTAACAGATTGTCTCGAGATGCTGTTCCTTACAATCAGTCACAAGGAATGAAAGCCTAAGGTGATACAAGAAATCTTGACTAAGTTATGTGAAAAGAAGTCATCATCCTGGTTTAGTTATATGTTTCCTATGATTGGAAAAAGCTAGAGAAGTTTAATTTTCTTTTATTTTTTAAAAAATTATAATTAAAAAAGAGTGCTAATATACTTGCCAGATTCAAATAGTAATACATGCACTCAGATGTGAGGGATAAAGTAGATAGAAGCCTCATTACCTCACATGCAACCTGTAAACACAAATATATATTGAGATAACCATATTTGTTCCCTCCTCTCCCAAATCCCATGAACTGCTAAAAACTCAATGGTCTATAATACTATAAATACCTCTCCCAGCTGCTTTCTCTCATGTCCAGTTACTAATGTATAACCAGTTTGATGTCTCTATAAATGACTCAAGATAACCCTGTGCAGGTAGCATGTGCTTCTGTGAAACCTCTTCACATACAAATTCTTCACAGGCAAGAGAACCTTTTACCTTTTATTCTAATGTCAGTTATTAAGATGTTTCATTTTTATACATTAGTGTGAACACTCTAGTCATTGGGTGTTAATGTACAAATACAAATTAGCAACTGAAGAAACACTTGTTGGCCATTCAAGATGTAGGTTTAAATAATAAGTGAGTTTTACCAGCTCTGCAGAATTCAGAACATGACTGTACTTTTTGATTATATGATTCTTATTTACATAATAACATCCTGATGCAGAGAGGTCTCTTTCAAATTGTAAGCTTCTTAGCAGTGATGTAGTTTCTTCACATATGTTTCTATAGTACTTGATAAAATAAGTACACAAACTCTGCTGTCTGTGAGCCTCAGGATTGCAGAAATATTTATCACTAAAATATTAACATTCTTGTAAAGCTGACAGAAATTAAGACTTTTTCAAGTGATAGGAGTACAGAAAATAAAGGTACAGATGAAATGTATAACAGAGGTGTGCTATCATTTATGATTACACTTTAGGGCAATCTATAAAATGACAGTAAAAAGCAACTAGTGCTTCCCTCAGCTTACCTCCCCTCTTTCCCCCCACCCCTCCCCCCAATTCTAATGCAGCAGTAAAATGGTGTATGTCAGTAATAAAAATAAAATGTCTGTGACATTTTAAATGTTATCGTACTGTCACAGCGGAATATAATTAGCTTGAAGAATGATCTAAAGGGATATGATGCAGTTCATTATGTGCAACAGCAGCAGTTTCCCAGTGTTCATAAAGGTTTCTCTATTAAATTTACCTCCAGTCAATAATTAGGAGTCCACAAATAAACCTAGGCAATTAAATCAATACTGCTGGGCAATTATGTTCCAAAGTCCTGGCTCAATGGCACAAAAAGACACTATATCAAACTGCAATATTAAGTGGTCCTATGCAGTTTTCAACCTAACATTTTCTCAGAATAACAGAAAAGGGCAAGCCTGCATCTTTGATCAAGATGCAAACAGGTACCTAGTTTGCCAACCTGTAACACTAAGTGAGCAGTCTGTTACGAGCAAAGTCCTGACAGAAAGCATTCATTTCACCACGAGCTTTAGTTTTCTGATCAGATATATTACCAATTTCTACTAAAGAAAACAACAAACAAACTCTCTACTCAAAGATATGAGTTAAGCATTTTAAAGGGCATAGAGCTCTTTCGTGAGCTGCACCCTAATACAGACCAAGAAATCTTAGCAATTTGAATCCATGCGACTTAGCATGGATAGAAATGAAAAGCAGAGCTGGCTGCTCCTAAAAAACACTAATCTTGCGATTCTAAAGATCGTCTGCTTGCTAAGAATTACTTTTACCCTCAGAGCTCCTCCTGAGGAATTCCACAAGATGGAGCAAAAAACGCTGAAAACCACTATTAACTTGTATACAAACTTATATGGGTAAGAGCAATGAGGCCCCCTTTCCTTAGCTAAAATTACCAACCCTAATATAGTTGGTTATATAGTCAACAATGTCCTCACTCTCCATGCCCTGGTTTTTGCTATTTGTTTATATCAGATGAAGAGAAGTGAAAAAAATCTGCTTAGGATTTTTTAACCAAAGAATGATAACAAAAAATAGAATAATAACTCTGCATCGTATTCCATTAATCTGTTTCCTATTTTGGAGTCAGTAATACATACAGAATCTTGAAAGCTATAGCTTTAAAAAAAATTCTTAAAATTAAGGCAATTTAGTTTTTAGAAATATTTGTGCTTTTACTGCTGAGTTCCATGTAACACTATGATGTTAAATTAAAATGTCAGTATTTCTGACAAAGCCAGTAAAAGGCACTGATATTTCCACCTCGTTCAGTGCACCAATTAAGCAGTCTTAATGGTAATAAGTTTTGATAATGAAAGAGGGAAAAACTTTCATTTCTAAAAAATGTGGTCTTAGGACACAATCTAGACACGAAAGGCTTTAATGATAAAATAAATAAATCTGAATGTCACTGTTCCCTTGAAATGACTTTCAAAATATTTTCAATAATTCACATTCATAACTGCAATGAACTACATCACTAATGGATCCATGCTACTGCATATGCATTTGGAACACTGGATTTATAGATCAAATTTTATTCCCTTTCAGATATCAGCTACCCATCATTTGAATAAAGGAGACAACTAAAATATAACGGAAAAGTTTCAAGAGTCAGTCAATGTTGTCAGTGATGTCCAAACAAGAGGTGAATGTGGCTAGAAAAGCAGGGCTCTCACCTGCCAATAAACTGCCCTTGATCACTTACAAGAGGGGAGCATCCCAGCAGACTCTGTGTGTATTAAAAAAAAGACTTGAAAGAGAAGAAAAAGTATCACACAGGTCACAGCAGCAGTCTCAATGGACCCCTCAGGGATTTCTGCTAGTCTCAGCCTTGTCATCCTCTATGCAGCTTTCCTCTCTGCCCAGAAAATGTCGATAGGAAAATGTTTGAGGGGCCTCTGGTGAAAATTTTTTCATTCTTTCTGCATTGACAGGATGCCAAATCAATATTTACTTCCCACTAACAAGCTGCTCCAGGTCTCAGTAGAAAATATTGTAGAGAATGCAAGAAGACACGATAATAAACAGCTGTCTGGCTATGAGGAAAACATGAATTGACTGGAAACAGGTCCACAGTAAAAGGTCACTGAAACCCATGAACTCTTCAGGTGTCCATATGAACTACTAACTTTAAAGGCACATAATAAAAATCTCTTTTTCCTAAGAGGTATGACAGAATGGATCCTTTTCACTCTAGCAAGCATTACACACTGTTTCAATAATTCAATTAACACATTTGCCAAGATCTGTGCTGGTTTTCTCCAGCACTGTTTCACTGGTTTCAGCTGTAAAGTTAGCTATCACAAATCCTTGGTTAACATCTCTTCAGTTTTATCCAGTGACTCTTATCTTCACAGAAATAAAGAGGAAATGTTACAAAACAAGGATTTTACATTGTCTTATCATGCAATAGTTTGGGACCATCAATGGCAACATACAGATGCAATAGATTAATTACAAACTAAAAACACTTAGCTACTCAGAATAGAAAGTTATAATTCATTAAAGGAAGATATAAATTTAGCACCTCTGCTTCAAGAAGTTTCTGTATATACTGCAGCCATTCTTTATCTTTTTCAAATTCCATTTTTGTCTTTGCAGTTTCCTAAAAACAGAAAAGTAAAACCAATGTGAAAATTTCCTTTTGTGACTTCTGTAATATAAAGCTCCAGTAAGGCTAAACCTACATCACCACCAGACTCCTGTTCCAGCCAACTGTGGTCAGCTCCTAGACACTCTTAGTAAAGTAAGTCTGTAGGCTTTTTCATGTATTATTTGATCAGGCCTAAATAAATCTGGATAAGAAATCCTATTACTGTATCTATTTAACAGAGGGTGATTTCAGAAAACACTATCAAATATTTCATAGTAAAATATATGATAGAATCAACAAAAAGAGGCAATGGATTCCCCCAGAAACAGTCTACTAGAAATACCTTTAATAGGTATCACAATTCAAGAATGGAAGCATCAGTGGAATCAATCTGGCACAGCAAGACACATTTTAATTTTGTTTTCATTAATGCAGGAGTCTATTTAAAATGTATAACCCTGCCAAACAGTCTGATGAAAAAGGAAACTATTAAGGACTTTCAAATAATGTCTCTACATCTACATGCTCAGAACAGTGTATTTATATTTTATCTATGTATGTCCAGAGTCTTGCCACCTTATGAGTCTCTAACCTGACGTTTCTATTTAAATCCAACTGGTTTATTCTTTTTGTGTTGGATGCTGCACAATGCAATTCCAGTCTTTACCTGGAAATCTTTTTTCCTTAGAAAGTCCCTAAAACAACCTACCTCATCATCTTCTACTTCTAATATCTCCTGAAGATCAGTTGTTGAAACATTAAGGATAGATGCTGCCAACTGAACAGACTCTTGGGAAAGACCCTTTTTGCACGCTGTTACTTCTCCCATTTTTTTTGCCTGTTTGATTTTTGTTCTCAGCTCTTGTACGCTGTGCTGTAACTCTCTGGTTAGAGCCTGGAAGATGCAAGCAAAAAATACCCCTTTTCAATTCTTCTTAAAGTGTAAACACTATGGAAAAAAACAATATAATTTGGACTAAGCTCCTTTAGATGGGAATTATCTTCATTCTGTGTTACTGGTTCAATAGAATGCATGCTGTAATACTAAATACCATGGTATTTAGAACACAAAGTATGAATTAATATATTAAACCAGAAAAAGCTCTTAAATATGGGTACTAATATTTTTTAATGTCTTTAGCAAAATAACTATAATCATAATGCCATTATTAGTAAGACGAAATAGCTTCTGCAGAATCAATTAAAAATAATTTCCTGATCCAGTCTACCAGAAGCGTTCCTGAAATAACAACAGAAGTGTCAGACTTTACTGTGGTCAAACAGAGATCTTTTTAAAGCTTTATTCATACCTCACCGCATGAAGAAACACCAACATACCTCTTTATTCAAAACCCGAAATTTTTGTTCCTATTAAGCCAGGGTAGTTCAAAACTGTCCTGGCTACTGATTCTTCCCAATATAATTTATAAATCACATCAGGATTTATACCTCCTAATAAACATTTATAAATTTATAAATATGAAACAGGATATCAGAGTAGTGGTTATCCATTGTTGATGTCCTGGGTTGAGTGAGTGGTGGAGTTTTTTGGTGGCAGGGGAGGGGGCTATCGGGGCAGCCCCCTGTGAGAAGCTTCTTGAAGCTTCCCCAGCTCCAAGTCAGCTCCACTTCTGTTTGGGAAATTGAGCCAATCGGCTGCGCCTCTGCGATAACATATTTAAGAAGGGACATGGTGACAGGCAGTGGGACTTGTGAGGAGGAGTTGCTGCAGCTGCATGAACACCAAGGTCAGTGGAGGAATGGAGGAAGAAAGGAGGGGGGAGGTGTGCCGGAGCAGAGACCCCCCTGTATCCTGTGGTGAGATGGCAGGGCGGCCCCCCCCTGCCACCCATGGAGGTCTACAGTGGAGCAGACATTGATTTATGGCCAGTTGCTCCTGCTCAGATGATCAAGGTTCTGTGCCCAAAGAAGGCCGGGGTCTCATGGGAAAAGGTAGCCCCGCTGCTGTAATTCAGTGCTGGGAGGATTGCAGCATGCAGGGGAGTCCCACGCCAGAGCAGCTTGGGAAGGGCTGCAGCCATGGGAGGGAAACCAGTCGGAGAAAGTTAGTGACCCATGACGGAGCAGTGTGGGGAACGCTGCGGCCCATGGGAGGAATTCAAGTCGGAGAAAGTTTGTGGAGGACTGTCTCCTGTGAGAGGGGGACCACGATGGAGCAGGAGGAACAAGTTTCGGACACTTCCCTAGCAGAGCTGAGCCCGGGAAGAAGGGAGGGGTGGGGGGAAGGTGTTCTCAAGATGTGGCAATGCTTCTCACTGTCTTACTCTGTTATGTGTTGTTAGTGTCTGTAATAAATGTATGTTCTTTTTTTTCTTCCCCTAACGAGTCTGCCTTTTGCTCGTGATCATAAAAGGGGTATTTTTCCCATCCCAGTCCTATCTTGAACCCCAATCCTGGCTCTCTGTCCCTTCTCATTGCCGGAGGGGAAGGGAGAGAGAGCTGCTGCATTGTGGTTGGCTGTCAATCAGGCCTAAACCACAACAGTTGATAAGCAACATACTCTCGGCACACACAAGACCCCTGTATTCTTATTTGCAGCTTGCAGCTGGCCCACACAGAAGGCTCAGCCAGGCCAGGCAGTCTCTCTGCAAGGGTGCTTTTAGCAGACAGTAGGTGTTTTAAACAGATAGCAGCTGAGGCAGCATGGGGAAGATCAGATGCCACACCAGAACCACTGCAATTGTTCTTTAACCCTGGCTTTGACAAGGTCTGATGCAGGGGTGCCAAGAGAAGCCTCAATTTTAGATCCCATTTCTGCTGTTGAAGACTTTTAGTTAGTTTTAAGTAAGAACTAGAGCTTGATAGGATGTCTGATGCTGCTAATGCTGCATAATTAAACTGCCTTTATTATTGTTACTACTATTACTAGTAACTAATAAAGACCACAATAATAAAGGGCAATTTCTCTATGATCTTTTGTGAAATGAGGTATAAACTGCTAAGCCAGGAAGATGCTCCAGGCTTAAAAAAAAAAAAAAAGCACAAAAACAGAATAATACTATTCCAAGAAAACTGTTTGAAAAGTTTCTATTACAGGAGAGGAGAACCACTATCTGCAGTGAAAAAAAAAAGGGATTACCTGGATTTAGTAAAGCTGATATAAAAACCTAGAAAAAGTAAAAAAATGGTCAGAAGACTAGACAAAAAAATTGTACTCACAGTTAACAGGAAAGAAAAAAACCAGCAGGGGTGAGGCCACTCTCCTGTGTTTATTTAAAACTAGAGTAAAAGAAGTATTATGAAACATCCTACTGAAAAGACTTTGTTGACCTGAATGAAAGCTGAATGGAATCCAGACCTGATCTTGGTTTTTGTTCCCTAATACCACAGGAGTACTGAGCTTGAATACTATGTTCCACAGCTGAACATGAGCCAAATTGCATAAGGAACTGATGGTTCAAATTCCTACATCTACTATTCCTAAAGTTCTCTGGTTCAGTGAAATAACACTAAGCATTAGTATAAATCATTGGTTGTATAACTGAAGGGTTTTTTTGTTTCAATATTTATGCAGCCATGACAAAAGCATTTTGTCAAAAGCGGAGCAAGACAAATTTATTTAAAAATTATTGGCTGAGACACATGAGCAGTAACTCGTTGTTAGAAGGTCCTCCTAGCGTATTCAACTTCCATGACTCAAGCAGAAATCTGATTGCCAACAGACACCTTGGCTGAGTTTAAAATGAGAGAATAAGGTTTTCTTCCGATCGTCATATGTGGGGCTCATCTTATTAAACTACCTCTCACCAGTAGGTGAACTCCTGAAAATTCTTTTTCTGCAGAAAGCTCTCATGTCATATAAACTGACTGTGGAATTATGAAGCCTGTTTATTATCATTTGGGGTAAAGTACTCTACAGCCTCTAGTGTATTCAAAATATAGATTAGACAGCATTTGCTGATATATTTCAAAAGAACCACAACAGATTCATCTGATTCCAAGATTTGTTTATTTTTCTTCTTCCCAACTTAACATTTTTCTGTATTTAGCTAAAATGTAATTATTAAAACCAAAATTACCCTACCACAAATTCAAGGAGAGGAGGTACAATTAAATTTGTCCCATTTTCTGATTCAAATATGGGTGTCTCCATGCACAGTATTTCCAACAAAATGTCTTGTACGTAGAGACCTGTGCAAGTACAGAGCTGTGAGGAATGATGAAACTTGAAATGTTATAGGCAGGGAACTAGAGAAACTTTGACCAAGCTCATAGAAAAAAATAGACTAAGAGAGGAGAGAGCCTCAAGTAGAAAAGTACATACTATGAAAAAAAAATTACAGATAAATCACAACATGTTTTTGTAGCATTTGAAATGGTCCAACAGTAAACTGGCTCCTGCAACATGTAGGAGATGTATTTGACAATGGAAAAATAAACTCAACTGTACTTTTTCAATCAAATTGCATGAGCTTCCCAAATTTTGAAAGTGAGGAGATGTCACTCAGACATAGGTGATCAGGCCAGAAGATGCAAATTTGTTTACTGGTGCAAAGAGGAAATGTAAATTTAAGGAGTAAAATATCAAGGCAATTAACTGCATAGCCACATGGAAAGAGTACAAATAATGATAACTAGCTGAGCACAGCAAACAAAAAGCATGTTAATAAACAAAGTTAAACATTCACTTGAACATCTCAGACAAGACACAAACATTGCCAGACAATAGTCTTAGGATGTTATTAGATAAATTTTATTGGTGTATCTGAACTCCAGAAGAGGTTCATGATGAATGAACAAACTGACAGCAATAGCAACAGTGGAACCCAGAGGCTGCAACTCTACTGTGCTTCGCTTTTAGTTCAGAGTTCCAGTATGGAAGGTACCAGAAAGTCCCTGAAGAATCTAGAGCAGCAATTATGAAAGTAAAGAAAAGAAAAAAACAAACAACAAACAAACAGGAAAAAAAAAAAAAAAAAAAAGAAAAAAACAAAAACAGAAAAAGTAAGTTTAAACAAAAATCAAGGAAAGAGAAAATTGCAACTAATATATTTTGATAATCAAGCATACATACTATATATAATCAAAGTAGATCATATATACAGAGGACTTGCACTTCAATTCCTTTTTCCCTAAGCAGTTCTAATACACTAAAAAATGTGAAATATATACCATATGTGAAAAATAAGGCTACTACATGGACTCTCAAATCAGACTCTCAGAGACCATCTATTTTTGAACCTGCCTTCTTCTCATTATTAAGTTGTAACAATAACGTTCTAATATCCATTTTTCACTGGATAAATGCCTTGAAAAATTATAGCCTCCCTATGACTTTAAGTTGCTTTTTCTGTTCATATATACTCACCCATCATGTGGTAATGTATTCACGTGCTAAACTGTTTACTTATTAGTGACTTAATTTATAAGTGAGTTCATGCTTTACTACAGAAATGTTCAGTGTCAAAGCCACACAGGTCTTTAACTCAGTTAGGAAGAACCATTTCCAAACCAAAGATTACAAAAACCTTAGTTCACCAACACAGTTTTGTTGGTGAGTGTACTGAAGCAAGTATAATATCATTCTTTGATTAAGAAATCAATTCAATGTATTCTGGAGCTAAGTGTAGGATTTTAAACTAATACATACCCCACTGTGTATTTCAGAATTGCTTGTTTTTAAACTTATAAGCATACATAGGTGATACAAACTGCCTGCAATGAAATCAATGCAGAATATGACTTCAGTACTATACTGATGTATGATAACAATGCCTCTATTAGTACCAGTAATGCTAGGATTTCATATCTTCTGTTTCTTTTTCTTTGGTGTTAAATCTAGGGGATATTTTGTTAGTAAAACCATTTTCCCAACTGAGATGTTACCATCAGAGTTACTCCTGTGGGACGCACTTAGCTGCTACCAGTCAACTA